GGAAGAGACAAGACAAAGAAAGATTTACTGATAATTGACTATTATGAGATTGCTAATTAAACTCAAATTTTTCCTTCATGTAAAGCTCATGTCCCAAAACTGCAACTTTAATTAAGTATAAAAAGTCTGAAAACCTTTGTTCTACCACATGTTTTCATTGCCTTCAGTCAAGGTTCTCAAAGCTTATTCTTCTCACATGCCACTGCATTTTCACTGAATGTCACAAGCTGATCACCATACATTTTCACTGCAGCCTGTGAGAACTCAGCCAATGACTCGAAAAGTGCAGAAAATCCTGTCTGCAATCCACTCTTAGCTATTTGTTGCGTCTCTTGCATACTATTTTGATGCTTCAATTTCTCCACATCCACCCTCTTTCTAAACATTTCCAATTGCTCCTTCTTCTGAGTCAAGTACTCGATTCGGTTTCTTACATGGATCTCCCCTTCCTGACCTGAGATCTTTGACTCGAGCACTCGCCTCTCCGCCCTTTGGAGCGCCACAACCTTACTGTCAAGCTCTTTGGCAAGTCCATCAACCTTTCTCTTCTGCTGCTGCTCTTCTCCTTGCTTAACCAACAAAGCGCGGATGTCCTTTCGGAAGCTTTTCATCGCATAAGTCACTGCCTTGTCTGGCAAGTTAACAAGGCAAACCAACCAATCATGACACATTGTAAGTAACGGCGGCGCGTTGAATCCATTCGAGCATAGTTCGGTTTGAGGGGTAATAACAAACTTCGACAGCCAACCACTGAGTGCCTCAATGTATGCCTTCTGTGAAGAGACAAATGCAGCAAAGCAAGAATGCCAGTTTTCGAGTTCTGCCTTGAGCTGAAGCGTGGCAAGCCGGTGTGAATCGTTGCAGAATTTCCCATAGGCTGGACAATTGAAGGATTTCACTCGGTACATGATTTTCTTTTGGGTTTCATGCATTTCAAGCATTGCCTTCCAGTTCCTCATTAATCTGCAAATGTGGGACAATAAAGGAGGTTAGAACAAGTACGAGATAAGTTAAAAATGGGGCTTCAAGAAGGCCGTGTGTAGAAAACCAAGTAAAAGCCTAAACCTCACAAACCAAACCGAAAATATGGTTTAGTGTGTGCTAATATTTTGGGTTCGTTTGCGATTTAGCCTCCGAACTGCCCAAAGCAATCCACGAAAACCCTTACGAACAAGCAGGTTTATCAATACTTTCATACACAAAATTTGGACAATTGCTATCTTACCCGTGTAGAAGCTCAATGAGTTGTGGTTGCAACTCTTGATCTCGCAGTTTTTGAATTCTTTCGGAGATTGATTCGGCACTTCTTATGGCAACCAAGATTCTGGTGTATAAATGCTTGACTTCAGCTGCAGTTTTATCATCTCTTAGACCATCCCTTTTAGCTTCCTGATTTCTTAGTTGGGAACGCTTTTGCTCATAAACTTTCCTTGTTTCCTCAGCAGACTAAGCATTCGAATATAAAAGATGTTAAAAAGAATCACAGAGTTACTAAAGATTTCTCGAGCTAGGGGGCTTACTTGCAAAAGAAAATTGATAGAGTTCATGATAAAAAGTGAACATGTAATGTTGACCAGCCTAGTAAGACAATGGACAAATAAAAAAAGTTTCTCCAGTGCCGAGCTACTTATTGCGTAGTCAGACGCGTGTCCCACTGAAAATTTATAAGGTATTTAGTATGAAAATTCGTGTCATAATTCGTAGTTCGTTACAATATTTTTTTAAAAAAAATACACATAAATTAAGAATAATTTTAAATTATAGTTCTCAATCCGTAAACGTCCACGATTAACTTTTGTATCTAACATATTGTGTCTATCACGGAAAAAAAAAAAAAAAAAAAAAAAAAAATTGCCGGCTCCGTTGCTACTTTTTCTCATGAACAAAGCATAAATTTAATGGATTGAATTTGTACCTTGACCTCCTCATAGAGCTTCTTCTCCCAAGCATACAACCTTCCTAGTGTGAGAGAGTGACTCCCAGATTCCATTCCTCCATTACCATCAAAAACATCACTCTTGAATTGATCTGCCCATGTTGAAGAGCTTTTGGAGCTAGAAGTAAGCAGGCTCTTACAAGAAGAAGACCAAGATAAGGTGGAAGAAGTGGATCGGCTTCGGGTAATCGACCGGATGAGCTTATTCGAATTTTCTGCTTCAAAATTCCATGAGTGAATGGAAGGAACAGTTCTAAAAGGCAATAAAAGGATGATATTCTGAAATGGGATTCAGAAGAATACGAAATTTAACTCCTTTCTTGTTTATAATTATCACATTTCTTTGAAATAAGCATTGCCACTATTATTCTAAACAAAAGTGGATATGAAAGTTTAGCAGCAAAGAAGCACAAATTAAACAAACGTCTAGAATTGAATTGAGATGAAAACAAAGAATAAATTGACAATGTAAAAGGATGATCTTTTTTGCATAAAACAGAAATGAGATTCAAAAGAAAACAAAAAAAGTTAGCTCCTTTCTTCTTCATAATTATCCAAATTCTTTGAAGCAAGCAGGTGTAGAATTTCAAATTAATAAGGAAAACAAAAAAGGACAAAACAACAAGTAAAACGATGACTTTTTCATAAAACAGAAAATGGGTTCAAAAGAAAACAAAGTTATCCCCTTTCTTCTTCACAATTATCCTAATTCTTTTGAATTATGCCAGTCATAAGTCTAAACAAAAGTGTCACTACAAGTACTAAAAACACAAATTACAACAAGGGTCTAGAATTTGATATCAATTAAGAATGAAACAAAAGGATATCAAAAAAAAAAAAAAAACCACCTTTAATTTCCTCTAAGGTGGATTGAACTTGAACCCTATTGGTCTCTAACATTCTAGAAACTTCCAAACCAGAATCATAGCCTTTAATGAAGAGGTCCACAACATCCTTCAATGCTTCCAACAGTTCCCTCCCATCATTGGGAGTATCAACCACCTTCAAACACTTCTGCTCTCCCTTGTCATGACCACTTTCACCAACAAAAAAATTGACATTTTCACCCTTCTTCTCCTCACTAGCAAATCTCTCCCCATCCTCTTCCAAATCTGGTATCCCTTCTTCCTCTCTCACCACCCTCAATTCCTCATCAATTAATCTCTCATGACTTGGTACCCCATCAAAAGGGTTGAAGAAATCCCATTGAAAATCCCTCTTCGGTGATGAAGAAAATGGCATTTGTGAAAATCCCATCTCATTACCATAAAAATGGTCACAAAAAACTTCTTCTTCTTCTTCTTCTTCTTCTTCTTGTTCTTCTTCTTTATGATTTGGGCTTTGTTTTTGTTCTTGTTCACAAGGAATGGTTTTGTCAGGATCAGAAGAAGTGGAAGAAGGATTGAAAGTGATGAGAAAAGGAGAAGAAGGAGAAGAGTAACGAGAAACAAAGAGGGTTAAAGCGGCTGATAAAGTGTAAAGAGAGTAATTGTACTTGCATTGTGAATCAGCAAGCGCAGACCTTCTCTCTAAAGCCATTTTCATGAGGCGTTTTCTCTCTCTACAAACCAATACCACGTCTTCTTCTTCTTCTACTTCATCATGATCACCCAACTTCTTAGACACAACACACCCCATAATTCTCTCTCTTTACTCTCTCTCTAAGATTGTCCTACTACTTCAGTAAGCTAACTGGGTTTTGGTTCAGACGCTGAGTCATGCTAAAACTGAAGGTTGTGAGAGTTGTGACTTTGGAAAAGCAGTGAGGTTTTTTCTTTCTTTTTTTTTTTTTTTGGCAAAAAGAAAAACAAAACAAAAAACAAAAAGTGATAGAGAATCCTGTCTTATCATGCATTACATATGTAACTGATGAGCCAATTAGATTCTACTTTGTGGGTGGAAAGCAAGAAGAAAAGGGAAGTCCTTTTTTTTTTTTCCCCTTCTTCTTAAGAGGATGATTATGATACACAACATTATACTGCCAAGCCATTACACCAAAAGCATATGTGTATATAACTATTTTTAGTTAAATAATTATATCAGTTAAACACTAATGGAAGAGATTTTTTTTTTTTTTTTTTTGCACTTGTGCCTCCTCAACTCTTGTAAAATCAGCACATTTGTCAATTTTTTTTAGAGATTATCTTATAGTGTAGCGTACTCCTAAATTAAATTTTTTTAACTGTTAAATTTGTGTATTTTTTTATTTTTACGGATTTTAGATAAATCTAACAGACAATAAACTCAACCTACTTATATGTTAACATACCGAAAAATGTCATTTCTTTTTTAACAATTTAGTCCTTAAAATAACAAAAGAACAGCAATCAAGTAGGCTCGTTAATGGGAGTAAAATGTGGGTGGAATATACATAAGTTTTGACACTTGTGTCTGTAATCTTTCATAATTTGCTACTTTTTACTTAAAATATTTATTTTTTGGTAATTTTTAGTCCTAAATTAGTCCCAAAATTTTCTTTTGGAGTCAATTTTTCTTTGGAGTTTTTAAAACTAAATTGTTAACAAAAAAATAGAAATAAATATCAAACTATACAACAATTAAGTCGCAGTGCAGTGCTAAATTGGAGTTTATAGCACTGTCACTTTTTTTTTTAGAATTTAGCACTGTCATTTAGGCCTCATTTATTTCACCGATTTGAGTTTTTAATTTTAAGTTTTTACAGTAAAAAACTCTCAAAAAACATAACATCTAATTTTTTTTGTTATAATTAAAAATTCTAAAAAAATATTACATTTCTGCTCGAATTGAAAACTTAAATCTACACGTGAACGAGTATTGTTGTAAATATCAAACTATACAACAATTAAGTGGCAGTGCTAAATTCTAGCAGAAAAAAAAATTTAGCAGTGCTAAAAACTCCATTTTTGTGCGGAGTTGTTCTGATTTCTGCAGTTCTATTTCTGGTTAATGCAGTTTGAGGAAGGGATTCCTACGCGCTTACTGGCGCGTATAGTGCACTGCACAACCTTTGTAGTGAAGAAAAAGGAAGGTTGGAATGAAACGCTCTTGAAGTTGAGTGTGAAAATGGGAAATAGTAACATAAATAGTTTCTGATTTTTTTTTTTGGGTAGAAAAATGGTTTCTGATTTTTGTTTTTCGCCAGGAAAATTGTTTCTGAGTTTGGTCAATTAAAGGCTCGTTCATTTTACCGATTTGAGTTTTCAATTTTAGGTTTTTACAGTAAAAAATTTTTAGAAAATGTCACATTAATTTTTTTTATTACAATAAAAAACTCTAAAAAAATATCACATCTCAACTCAAATTAAAAACTCAAATTCACAAAGTGAACGAGGCCCGTAAGAAGCTAACTTGAGATTTAGTGGCCTTTGTTCAATTAAGATATCATAATTACACTTTTGTCCTTGTGCTGGGGACAGCAAAAATGACAGGAGGATATATGGACCCCACCACCACCTCCTTGTCACCGTCAGATCATGTTCTTGTGGTTAGTGCAAGGTGGGGTTTGTCCCGCAACCGTTAATTAACGTGTGTTTTCAGGTGATAAGAGATCACTTACGTGAATGTCATGAATTTAAAATTATAATTTAAAATTATTTTTAATTTATATATATATTTTATAAAAATATAAATAATAAATTATAATTTAAATTATGTCATAAATACATTAATTAAACACATGCTTAATATAAGAATAGTGAAGTTACTAGGATTAAGATTAGACAAAAGTTACTTTATTAATAAGAGAAATTTTGACATATTAATAGGTTATATTTTTTAATTATTAAATTTATATATTTTTTTATTTTTATGTAATTTTATGTGAATCTAAAAGACATAAAATTTGACTCATTAATATATTAATGTAGTGAAAAAAATCCCTACAACAATTTTATTTTTTAAGAATTACGGTACCACAAGTTTTTTCCTGGTTGTATTACGTGTGCGACATGAAGTAATCAAATGGGATTCGGTGATAAAAATTCTCAACTGTCTAAAAATTCCACATGAACCATTATCTAATACATAAAAAATATTGTGCTTGCGACCACTCAAATTTAATTGATCGTACCCTAAAAAACTCTAAAAAAATACACCTATGGGAAATACTTAATTTTTCATTGTTAAATTTTTTAACAAGTTCCGTTGAATTTATATTTTTCGTTAAGTTGATCTAACGATCCATAGCCTTGTCGTATTGATTTTTTTTTATCATATCACAAAAATTTTCATATTCTATTTACCTCAAGAATGTTAAACATTCTATCGATTTTAATGTTGTTTTGAACTGGCAAAATTTTCACATTTTGTTATAACATTTTGATGTGATCTCAAGTTTAGAAACACCTAAAGACATCGTTTATTTTATCAATTTGAGTTTTTAATTTTAGGATTTTATAGTTAAAAACTCTCATAAAATGTCACATTTAATTTTTTCTGTTACAGTTAAAAACTTTTAAAAAATATTACATCTTAATTCGAATTGAAAATTGAAATTCACAAGGGGAACGGGGTCAAAATCAATTGATACACCCTACCATAACAAGATTATTGTTCAAAGTTTGAAAAATGAGAGTCAAATCCGATTGATAGGAGGACTAGATAACATTGATAATAAAAGTAGTTTTTCACTATATTCGTGATATTAGGAGGATAGCTAATATATAGTATCTCTTCAGGATATTTTGGCTAGTACAGTGGGAAATGGACAACGATTTGGTCCCTGAATTGACATCTTCTGATACAATCTAGAGATCTGGCCGCTCATCTCAGCAAAATAGTGACACATCTTTACTCCTACCCCTAATACCTTTCATTATTGTTTTTTCTTTTTTAGTAGGACCCAAAAAAAAAATAAATTATAAATATTTTTTTATTTTTAACTATTAAATTTAATATCAAAAATTATTTATTTTATATATTTTTTTAATATGATATAATTTTAATTAGATTTAACGATTAAAAACTAATTCAACTGATAAAAAAAATCTTACCAAAGAAAGTTTTTTTTTTTTTTTTTTTTTTTTTTTTTTTTTTTTTTTTTTTTTTTTTTTATTCATCA